TAAAAACGCTGGTATTATTAAATTATTATATTTTTTACACTGTAAGGACTGTAAGATTTATAAAATAAGTTGAATAAGAAAACGAACCAAAATTTGTTAATTAAATTTCTTATAAAATTTCTTTTCATATTAAGTTATTTTAGATTTTAAAGATACAAACACAGAATATATGTATATATGTGAGGAAGCTTATTATTGTTCAAGTTATGATCGCACATTTTGTAACATTTTTATTTGTATTATTAATTTTTATAAATCGTTAAGTAGAAATATTTATTCATGTTATGAAATAAAGTATCAATTCTTTTTTTTAGCATTACATGGAAATAATTTAAATTTTAAAGCAGTTCTAACACAACAAAGTTTAACTTATATATGTATTTATATATTAATTCATATTTTTATGAATTATAGAATGGGTTAATTTCAGAGATTAATTTCATACAAAATGTTTTCTATATACCTCAGCAAATTTAGGTAGGTATATTTTTGTATATGATTACTTACAAAATATCGCAATAATAAACTAACTGATAGAAAATTATTATTGTTTAGAGTAATAATTTGTCTGTTTGAAAATGTTGTTCTTCTTAAAATATAATAAAATAAAGAAAAATATTATAAATTCTAAAGATTCCAATATAAAATATTTATCGCATATAAATTTATTACGAAAATTGTATTTCAAGGTTTAAAAGTCAAATTTATGAGTATAATTAAATAAAGAATGTTATATAAACAGAGAAAATACTCCATTTAAATCATTTAAAAGTTATAATAAAAATATGAAGTATCATACTACAAAAGTTCAATAGCGTGAAAGTGTAGATGATGTTGAAAGTTAAATTATTATTTCCTTTGTATTTTTAGTGGTACTTTTATTAGATTGGTATTTTTATATGTCTTTTACCTAAAGATCTATAATATATAATAAATATTGTATTATAAAATATAGTAATTTGATTATTAAATAATGAAACACATTAATATTTATCAAGTATTACCATATATTATTATATAGAAATAAATTTTTAAAGTTCCTCTTCATGGTAATGCTCTGTAATAATCTGTTTTTTTTTTTTTGCTTTATTTTAAATATTAGTTTTTGTAATATCTGTATGATTAATAATAAAAGAAGAGAAAAAAAAATAGTCAACTTTAAGAAATTATTTGAAAGCAATACTTTTGGTTAATAAATATTTTTGATTACTAATTCTTGACTTCATTACTATCTCTTTTTAAGATACAACGAAAACTTAAAATAATATCAATAAACAACAACATTGAATCAGAATTAAAATAATATCAAATATTTTTATTTTTCATTTATATTTTTTTCTTTATTATTTTATTATATTTAACTTTTAAATGATAGATATAGATCTAATAACAAAATTTCTGCTCTTCAATTTTGAGAACAACAGAAGTTAAAGTATCAAAGTACAATAAATTTATTTACAATAATCCTCCTCGATATTTTTTTACAATTTTTTTTTATTTGAACAAGAAAACAATCCTAAATAATATGCACAAGTAGAAAAATAGTATACGAATCGAGTTTCAAAACTGCACAGACTTCCATTCAAAAATATAACCGGGGATCGTATCGAAGAATGGAAAGAGCGATTGAATTTGTACATCCTCGGCTTTGGTTCAGACATAAACGCTTCGAGGAGCTCTTAGACTGATCTTCTTGCTCTGTACAGATTCACGGTTTCCTTTGCATCGATATTGTTCTCTTCGGGATGAGCAGCGATGTATTGGAGTCCCTTGAGGATCTCGGGTGGTATAGTTGGTATGTGACTACCTTGAGGCTGGAATCCGTTTTCGTTAGCTACGTAGGTCACTTGGACAATTTCACCGTTCGGCGCGGTGTAAGTGTAACTGCCTTGAGCTTCGCGAGATTCAGCCTTAGTGCCTGCGTAGTTAATATAGCCGACCTCCTGCGCCTGGATACCATTTGCCGTCTCGTAGCTATAGCTGTAACTTCCGTCTGGATTCGGACCGTCCGCGCTTTGCCTCAGAATAGGAATCGGCGGGGTGCTAGGTGCATAAACATCCAGAGAAGCGCCGGCTGCTACTGAAGCGAAGACGCACAAAACGATCGCCTGTAACGTAAGAGCTCTGTTTATACGTCTTTCATCTTTTTCAACTTAATTTCGGTGTTAGATTGCCACAATAATAAAGAAAGTAGTCTCTTGCACTCGACGTTGCTGCAAATCCTCCCAGCCACTGTCAGAGTTGCTATAAATTTTAGTCGAGAATAAGTTCGAGTGCAAAGGATTGATATAATGAAGGAATAAATTAGTTAGAAATTATTTTGTTAATAGTAGTTAACAGATTAAATTTACATATTAATAATAGGTAGGTTAAATTTTTATTCAATCGCATGAATTTCATGTTCAATTTCATGTTTAACTTTATGTTCTTTAGCTTTGTTTAATGTTCCGAATCGTTTGATTTTCACAACTAGTGCAACTAATTTGAAATCATAGATGTCTATATGCATCAAAGTATAATTCAAAAAGATGTATAATTGTGGTATAATAATTAACTATAATAATTAATAATTAATTATAAGACAATATTATAGTATAATAATTAACTATAGTAATTAATAATTAATTATAAGACAATATTTATTAAGTATTCCGGAAACAAATATTATCTGTAACTCTGATGACACGCACGTGTTTGTTATCGAAAATATCAAAAATAAATATTATACTATATATAATAAATATTATGCTGTAAGATAACATAACATTTTGTAAGAAAAATGTGTCAAATTGACATAAGTAAATGAGTGGCAAATTAGAATTATTTTATCTATTAAATTAGAGCTATTTTATCAGCCATTGTCTCTATTCGGACAAGGAAATAATTCAACAGTATCATTTATAGATGAAGCAATTTGAAATAAGTATTTTTGACAGGAAGAAAGTGCAAAGAATGTTGTAAAACTAATTTTCGAGGTCTTATTATTTCTAGAGAAAAATCAGAATCTATGTATTTCTACGGCAAGCATTGGCCGGTTAGAGCCAAGAGTCAAGATTTCCAAGACTTACAAGATCATCAAAGTTTTTAAAACTTCCAAGAATTTTCAAATATTGAGTTCTATTCGAAATTTTAAAAACCTTGGAAGATATTGAATTGCTTCGAAATTGGGATTTGAATGTATAGTCATCTACTAATTATATTCTAAGGCTCTATATAGGTGTTATTACACTTTAGTACTTATGACATAGTTTTTTTAATTAAAGTGTTCTGTTTCACATATTTTTCATCTTTCAAAATATGTTGCAAATCATCATAAGATATTTTAAATTCAATGGAGAAAAATAAAGATACTTCAATTTTCTTCTACGTTTTAATTTAATTATTAAATTATTATTATGAACATGATTACATGAATATGATAATTAACAAATTATGCATTTATAGAAAATTTAAAAGTACAGAATGTACGTAATACGAAAAAATGCATGAAATATAATATTTATCGCAACATTTTCTATGATATTTATGTCGTAAAAGAATTTTCGATCATTTTATTTTTTTCATTGTATTTCCAAACATGAATTTGTATAAATGAAAAACATGAATTTATATAAATTCACAGTCTGATAATTAATTATGTAGGCAAATGTGCCTCACGACAAATGTATAAAAAGAACGAAGTAATAGGTAAGACTATAAATTTTAAAATTTGTGAAAAGAATTCGATGTATATTAAAAATATGTAAGGTTTAAAAATGTCAAGGTTTAATGATGTAAAAAATGGTGAATAAAATATTTAAAGAACGAGTTGATAGATAAAATTATAAAAGCTAGAATGTGTGAAAGAAATCGATGTATATCAAAAATATGCAAGAATTAAAAATGTCAAGGTAAAATTGGGAATGGAAATGAAAATTTATTATTAAATTTCATATTTAAATTTTATAAGAAACAAAACTAAATTTTAAAGAAATTAACGATATAAAAGGAATTATTTCTTAAAACCTTTTTAATCTTTCGAACAATACTAGATTTGTTAGAATGACAAAAATTTGTTCAACTATTAAAATATGTATAATTTTCAGAGTTTCAAAGAATCTGAGCTATTTTATGAACAATATATAATTATTAGTTGGGAATTTTCTCAAGAAAATAAAAACAATATACAATTTGCAGGCCCAATATATACCGTGATTAAAGATATGATTAATAATCACTAATAATCAATCAGTATGATACAGAATGTAATACAAAAAATAATATTTAAATATTTAATTAAAAATAAAATACTTAAATTTTTAGTTTTACTTACAAAAATGAATCTTTTAAAAGAATTATTTTGGAAACTTTAATTAATATACTGGTTTCTGATCATTAAAAACTGAATTTAAAAAAGTGTTCGATTTTTGTAAATTTAAAATTAATATTGTATAATTAATTGATGATAATATAATGACGAATAACTAACATTATAAAATATTAATTAATATCATAAAAATTTTATAAATACTATTAAACATTTTTAGAAATTTATTTATAATGTATTTCTTATACTTTGAAAAGATAACGATTATACTAGATTTGATTATACTAGAAAATGATTATTTACAAATTATCTTGAAAAATAAACTCTATTATATTTCTCCTTCGTTAAATTTAAATAGGAAAAGAAATAACAAATAACAAATGAAGTAATAAATCGTAAATATATACATTTTAATATTTAATTCATGGAACCAATAACACATTATTCAATCAAGAAATTCTAGAAACAAGCAGTATTCTTTATTCATATTATTCCTTCAATATTTGCGTTATGTGTATTTTGGATGTGCTGAAATGAAACTATTATCGAGATAACATATTTTTTCTTAAAATTTCATATCTATCGAGCACGCGTGGAGATGAAACTAAATACCATGTACCGGCACTATTACCAAACTCACCAACTGATTCATGCTGATATTTCGGAGTTTTTGTATTTAGCCTCGAAAGAAAAATTGTGAGTTCTTCCTGAAGGAACTTCTCGCTGCACTGACTCGTAACGCGGGGCACTGGACCCCTTTATATATCCATCAGCTGAACATTCGGCGAATTTCTGGCAAACCGGTGCCTTATTTAATCCCCCTCTGCCCCTTTCTCTCCCACTCTGTGAAGACAGGACACCTTCAAGTTTTGCAGATGATCCAGACACACACAACCTGACGATGACAAAGTAACTGCGCTATGATCCGAAAATTGTAAGAAAAACTTTGTACCTTCTCACTGCTCTCTCGCATAGAGAACACGTAGAATGACTGATAACAAATAATCTTTTCAGAAAGACATTCAATCTAGTTGTCATTCAATGTATTCTGAACGAAATTTTGTCTTAGGCAGAATTTCCATTGGATGATGAGATTTCGTTACAAGTGGAAAAAGAAGAAAAAGAAAAGAAGAAACGAATCGTAATCACGATCGGTTAATAAAAAGGAAATCAATTTCATATGAATCTGTATCCGTATCACCAATCAATTTGACCTCGTAAATTTTTGCGGTGCGTAAAGAGCGCATCTTTTTATGGTGAAGTATAATATAATCTTGCAGGTGTAAATTTCGGTTCATTTGTAACGTTCGGTACTTACGTAACGTTATATAACAGATCTGTAACCGCAATGTTTCAATATTTTAATGTTGTGAGATTTAAGAATTTGTTACTGTGCAGAATCTTTAATTCCGAAATTGGCCGATAAAATGCGAAATTCGTGTTACCTATAATATATAAATTTCTTGCGTCTTGATCGTTCGAACGTAATGGAAAAGAACGTTATTTTCCTTTGACATTACTTATCTTATGTGAGTACGATAATTTTTCATGTTCAAAATTTTTGCAAAATTCATGCTCTAAAGTGATAAAATAATAAATAAATTGATTATTAGATTGATAGATTAAAATTAATAAATTATATTATTTAAAATACAAGTTTAAACAGTTACTATTAGTAAATTTAATTAATACAAATTGTTAACATAAATGCATTGTTGATATTGAAACGCATATCTTTATGCAGAATTGAATGGAATTGCGCAATTTCTTATACATGTATGATTTTCTAGAATTTTGACTCGAATGTTGTAGAAGAAAAAAATGAAAATCAAAAATATAATAGATTTCGTGATGTTTTCTGTTAATATTATAAAGGATTTTATAATTATTCTTATTAAGGAACTCTTTTTTTTATGTCAAATTATTAAGTTGATAATACAACTTTAACCTTATAATAAATACTTTAACGTAATATTTTGTTTTTTAGAAGTATAGTTTTATTTGCAATTTTTAAACTAAATTTATTTTTGTTTATACAAATTGTAGTAAGTAAATTATAAAATAAGTTCCATAATAAGTAAGTAAAAAGTAGTAAACACGTAGTAACTCTTTTTAATTTTTGATGAATACTATTTACAGAAATATTTGATAAATAAATATTATGATATAAGTATATTCGTACATGTTATATAGGTACATACATTTTTATAAATTTTTTGTACACACAAAAGTACTTTATTAAATTATATTTCCTAAGTACTATAAATATTAAGACAATAACTTTATAATTTTATGTATAATTTATTTTCATTTTTCATTTTTTT